GCGCTATAATCACCCAATCACATTTTGAAAAAACTAAATGTAATATCTCAACACAAAAACAAACGCAAATATTTAATTTGAAAAAGTAAAGTCCTTTCAAGTCTGTCTCAAGCTTAAGTCAAGTCTCAAGTCATGAATACCAAGTCAAAGTCAAGTCAAGTCTTTTATCAATGTTAGTCAAGCAAGTCTCAAGTCCAAAGATATGCGACTGGAGTCCGACTCGAGTCAAGTCATGTGAGTCGAGTCCCCACCTCTACTACTATCAACTAGGTTGTGCTTCTGCCAATAAGTCAAGCTAATAGGTCACGACTCCATTATTTCATACTTTCTGACATTTGTGTGAAAATGTCAAAAATAGTGGGCTAATTCTTGAGTTATGGCAAAAACTTGTATCTGAGATCACAATGACCTTTGACCACTAAATTACCATTCGTTCACCCTCGATTTAGTAAACATTTCTGCCAAATTTGAAGACATTCCCTCCTGAGATTTTATGTTGACTAGATTAGGACAGAAAGTCTTAAGGATAGGAACAAATGTCATGAGAAAATGCAGGATATTGCTTGAGGCTTCAAAGTGAAACATTAATTCTGATGACCCCACTCATTACGATGATGCCACCAAACCGAGGGTTCATTTCTATAGCCAATTACAGACTCGTTTCACGGACATATTTGCTTTGTTTCGGAGACAAAACTCTAATTCCCAAGTCTATAACATCTGTCCCAGGGAGGTACAAGTCGAAATGCAATTAGCCCCAGCCTCCCAGAGGACCCCCTCCATAGGGATGACATATGCTTATTGTTTTTTATGCGCCTAATGTTCAATTTACGGCAAAAATAGCTCTTTTTAGGTCAGAAAAACAAGCAGTGAATTACTCTAACAATATCATACTCATAGTTTAACTAATTTGTCTCAGTATCAAAGGCTCTTTTGAGACTTTGATCAAAAAGTTTTAATTGGGTTCATTACTGACACATTCAAAGTCTGCAGAGTGATTTCTCAAATCAAATAGCTAAAACTATTAAATGGATAAATGCCCAGATATTGATCTTTCTTTTTCTATTCTGAATCCTTTGACAGCAATTAGCAATGTTGTGTTTAACTGTTCCCTTGCTGTTTAAATGGTGGTACACAGCACTAAGAGTGCAGGGAAGACCTGGTAAGCAATGTTTACAGATCTATTATCCACTCGTGGTCTGCAAGAGTACTCAAAAGAAATGTGCAGACTAAATCCCTCTTCACTGACACCTGTCAAATCTGAAATGCTGAACCTAATAGCTGGTGCCATTAGAGAATGACATTCAGGTTGAAAGTCATATATTTGACCATGCTGTGGTAAACGGTTTCCATTATCCATTTATTTGGGGGGTTATATTGTGAGAAGCATGAGATGTGTCGCTGAGGGTCTGCTGGAGTCACAGTATATCTAAACCTCAGTGGCTTTTGACAATTACATGAAGCTTGTATCACCTCATTATGGTGAGAGACTCCAGGTGTGTCAGGTGCTCGTGCACACAAATTGGATTTTGCAGTCATGGTGCACAATAACAGTGTCTTTCAAATGGTAAATGTTTGTTATTGTTTTTTGCTCACATCATTATGAGATCCTCAATGGTTGGCTTTGGGATATGAATTTGACTTTGTCTTAGCTAAAAACTGTGCACACAATGAATATAGTATGCGAGTGTCCAGAGTGAGTCCCCCCGCCTGAAATTCCTCCGTTGTAGTCCTTTGTTTACATCCGCAACAGAGTGACATCACTACGTAACACTTATTTTGGCTAGCGCTCTGACACAAAGTACATGAGACGCTAAGAGTCTGGACATCTCTAAGCGGTTGACCGATCACAACAGAGCCGGCCAGCTAACCAATCAGAGCAGACTGGGCTCTGGTTTCAGACAGAGGGTGAAAAGAGGTGCAGCAGAACATTAAAGCATTTAGACATGTCAAAGTAGAGGCACTAAATACAAATATGAAACCGAAAATAAGATAAGATAAGATGAACATTTATTAATCCACGAGGGGAAATTCAGTTGTACAAAGCAGCAACAGGGTAAGCAAAATGAGCATAATGGGGTCCCTTTAAATATAACGCAGGAATGTTTACAGGTAGCATGTGAATGCATAGTAATATATTTACATAACAAAAGTAATTCAGGATTTCATTTTGTAACAATGCATGTGAGTGATCATCAACATGGTACTACGAGTTTTTATCCAGCATAGGAACTAAAGTATTTTGCTGCGTGCCTTTAAATTGTCTCTTTTACGACAACAAAGTGAAGAGGCAGTGTGCCATTGATTATTCATGACGATCAGTCCAGTCACAATAGGAAGTGACTGCTGTGCCTTGACGTAACGTCAGACAATACTAAACAGGGGCATGCTGGAATTAAGGTTTATGAAATTCATCTCGTGGCATTCTCTTTGAGTCTTTTCTTGACCCTGACCTGTCAATGTATTATGCATCATGCGTACATGTGTTCCAAATGAATTATGAGAAAGGAACTACTGCTAGGTAGTACTCATCAAAAGATGGCAGCAGATCCCATCTCTTTCTCATGATTTATAACCCAACACATAATCACAAACTCATTAAATAACTTCACTGTGAGTGTCCCGTATAGCCACATTATACTCAGAATTGTCCTTTTGTCCTTTTGTTACCTTGCCTGCGAGTTCACCCGCAGCAGGAAGGTTCTAATTTACACGTTTTATAAT